GCAAAACAGTGGTATAACGCATTATAATGCATAAATCATCATAATGCATAACGCATCATAAAGTATCATGACGTGTCATAACGCATCAGCGCATCATTAAGCATAATGTATCACAAAGCATCATGACGCATAATGCATCATAAATCATCAAAATGCATCATAAATCATCAAAATGCATCATGACGCATCATAACGCATAATGCATCATAATCCAAAATGCATAATCCATAACGCACCACAACACATCATAAAAGCAATATAATGCATCATAACAGTCATCCATATGAGTCATGTGCTATGTTAAAGCTCTTCTGGACTCTGTGATGCTCTTAGTGAGAAACCGGCCGACATTCACGCTGATTCTCTCTGAAAGTCAAATGAATCGAGAAGATTTGAGGAAGTAAGAGTGAAAGTAAATGCTGACAGAATGAGCTCTCCCGTCTGCTGTGTAACAGGGGTTTTCTCAGTTTGGCTGAAGGTTTGGGTCTAATGAAACATGTTTTCTCTGCGTGATTCATCTGACAGCACATATATTATGACTGACGGATATGGAGAGAGATGAGTTTACAAACAGCCTGCAAAGTGCTGAAGCTGATACATATATAAATAAATTGAAATATAGTATAAAAAATTATCAAATTTATAGTATGAAAAAGTACAAAAATATATATTTTAAAACTAATTTTAAGTATAAAAACCTTAAAATATACTATAAAATATAAATACAGTATAAAACATTATGAAAATTATAGTATTAAAAAAATACAAAAAGTATATTTATAAGTAAAACTATAAGAATGAAAAGCTTAAAATACACTAAAAATATAAATATAAAAAAATAAAAAAATGAATACAGTATAAATCATTTTGAAAGTTATAGTATGGAAAAGTGCAAAAAGTATATTTTGAAAAGAAATTAAAGTCTAAAAAGCTTTAAAATTAGTCTAAAAAGCTTAAAATATACTATAAAACATCATAATATATGTATACACACACACACACTATAGCAGCAGTATTTGTGTGTAATTTCGGAGCAGCTCTCAAAGTTATCAGAGATTGTATTTTGTCCTGTGCACAGGTAGATTTATTCACTAGTTTTAAGTAAAAACAGTCAGGAAAAAAAAGAAATAAGAAAAAGAATAAAAAATTAAAAAAATTAAATTAAAAGAGAAAAAAATCTAATAAAAGAAAATATGAAAGAAAACAGAGTAAGGAAGAAAGAAAAGAATAAATAATAAAAGAAAGTAAGTTTTCATTGATCATAAAATCATTTGTTTGTGTGTGTGAGAGATCAAACCTCGCATCCCATGATGCATCACACCAAGTTTGTCCTCAATGGTTCTCATGTGAGGCGTCAGGTTTGAGGGAACATTAATATGCTGATTAATGTCAAGTAATTTCTGTTTCTCACACAAAGGATCATATCAGAGCGAGAACAGGAACTTCTGTCGTGATGCTTCAGTGGCAGAAGAAAGACAGAAGAGAGTTTGCAGTGTGCCACGGATGTTTCTGTGAAGACGATCATGCAGTTCAGCAGAGAAACATCTGCTCACAGCTGGAGCTTCACATGAGACAGCAGACACAGACTGATGCTGAATAAACACTCTCTTACAGATGCTCACAATCGCTCGCTTCTCTCCCCGTGACAAAAGACTGGAGCGTTCAGTGCGTCTGAACTCCAGCGGCCCGAACGACCTCGTGAACTGAACATCTCTATTCTATCAGACGGACAAACCATCGCTCCGCTCGTGACGACTGGAGAAACATCATCGCACACATATCCAAGTCTAAAAGTTTCTAGTACAGCATAAAACATTAGGAACGTTATAGTATAAATAAATTTCATTTAAAAAAACAAATACAGCAATAAACATTATGAAAGTTATAGTATAAATAAGTATAATAAAAATATATTTATTTATTTATATATATACTGTATACATATATTTATATATATACATACATACACACACACACACACACACACACAGACACACACACACACACACAGACACACACACACACACACAGACACACACACACACACACAGACACACACACACACACACAGACACACACACACACACACAGACACACACACACACACACAGACACACACACACACACACAGACACACACACACACACACAGACACACACACACACACACAGACACACACACACACACACAGACACACACACACACACACAGACACACACACACACACACAGACACACACACACACACACAGACACACACACACACACACAGACACACACACACACACACAGACACACACACACACACACAGACACACACACACACACACACACACACACACACTCACACACACACACACACACTCACACATACACACACGCACGCACGCACACGCACACTCACACACACACACACACACTCACACATATATATATATTAATAATAATTTTAAAACAGTATAAAGTATAAGTATAAAGGATTTGAAATATAGTATAAAACATTATAAAATGTATAGTATGAAAAAGTACAAAAATATATTTTAAAACTAATTTTAAGTATAAAAACCTTAAAATATACTATAAAAATATAAATACAGTATAAAACATTATGAAAATTATGGTATTAAAAAATACAAAAGTATATTTATAAGTAAAACTATAAGAATGAAAAGATTAAAATAAAAAAATATAAAAAATATAAATATAAAAAATTAAAATATAAAACAAAATTAATACAGTATAAAACATTATGAAAGTTATAGTATGGAAAAGTGCAAAAGGCATATTTTTAAAAGCTTCAAATATACTATAAAACATCATAATACACACACACACTATAGCAGCAGTATTTGTGTGTAATTTCGGAGCAGCTCTCAAAGTGATCAGAGATTGTATTTTGTCTTGTGCACAGGTAGATTTATTCACTAGTTTCAAAAAGTTTTAAAAACGGTCAGCGCAGCTTTTATTAAAGCTCTTTGAGAGGAAAAAGCACGCAATCAGAGGGAAGCTTTGCATTCAGACGAACGTCTTTGTGCGGCTGACGAAACAATAACGCACAGAAACGATAAGCCTGCATACCTCCCACAAAATAATTCACTTTCAAGGCTACAACTAATTTTTCTCTGTACATCTGTGTTTCTTTGTCGCTGGACTTCCATTAAGCTCAGCAAAGAGGGAACAAAGACAGGAGAAAAATCCCACGAGTCTGACAGACAAACACTCGTTTCTGCATCCGCCGCTGCGCTGAAACACATTTGTTAAACATGTAAAGCACGACTGATGGCTGTCGGGCCCAAGCTGTCATTAAGGAGCTTAAACAGAGCAGTGCGTCAGGCATTAGGCTAATTAACGGACTAATGAACGGCCTGCTAGTGCAGGTGAACGGCTGATGCGTCCAGACAGAAGATCAGATGCTGATGAAGCTCGTTTTGTGCAAATCAAGCTTTTACACAAAGATGAAGAGATCATTGACATCTAAAATCTAAGATTCTCAGCTCAAACCTTATATTCAAGCGGAGCAGACTGAAATATGATTATGTATTTTTCATGATTGCACTCTTAAAAATAACGCTTCATTATTGGCATCTGTTGGTTCAAGATACTATTAGAGTTTTTATTAATATTTAGTTTTTTATTAATATTTTATTATAGTTTTTGTTAAAATATAAAAATTTTATTTTTATATTTTCCATTTTTGTTTTAATTTTAGTTAAAGTTTTAGTAATTTTGTTGTCTGCTTTTTATTAGTTTTCTTAATAAGTAGTTTTCAACACACATACAGTTTTATTGACGTACTATTGTAGTTTTTCTTAATATTTTGAATTAGTTTTTAATTTTAGATGATATGTTTGCATTTTAATTTCAGTTTACGTTTAATTTTAGTAATGTAATATTGTTTATTTATTGTTAATATTGTTGTTTAGTACATTTTTGTTTTTAGTAATATTTTGTTTTCATTTTAGTTAATGTTTATTTTAACGGCTGTAGAAATCCTACTAATATTATGAGTGCACCTTAGGATTATAAAATAACAAAAATGCAGTTCACGACCCCTCTTAACCCACACACACACACACACACTCTCTCTCTCTATCTCACACACACACACACACACACACACACACACACACACACACA